CTTGTTTTGGTCTTGAGAAAGAGCCTTGTTATGCAGTTCAGGCTGGACTTAGCCTCAAGAATCCTCTTGCCTCAGCCTCCTGAGTGCTGGGATTACAGGTGTGTGTCACCACACCTGGCTCTGTAATTTATCTTGAGACATGGTCTTGCTAAGTTGCCCAGGATGGCCTCGAACTTATGATTCCCCTGCCTCAGCCTCCCAAGTAGCTGGGGTGACAGGTGTGACCACTCTGCCTGGCTCACTGTAAGGCCTGCCATTTTCAAGTGTACCAGTTCTGTGGCACTCGGCACAGGTACGCTGTTGTACACCTACCACCACCCATCTCCACCACACCGTTTTTTTGGTACTGGGCATTGAACTCGGGACCTTTTGTGTGCCAGGCAGGCGCTTATGTTGCTGAGCTAGTTCCCTGGCCCACGCAATGTTTTCATCTTTTCCAAATGGAATGCTACTTAATCAAGAGCCCATGGAATCCCCCAGGCTCCCGGCAACCACCAACCGGCTTCTGTCTCAACACGTGACTACTTCAGCTACTGGGACCATACGGTATTTGTCTTCTTGGGACTGGCTTATTTCACTTTGCACAGAACCTTCAAGTTTCACTTGGGGCATGGCCTGTGTCAGACTTCTTCCTTGCTAAGGCTGAGCGCCATTCCACTGGGTGTGTACACCCTCCACGTTCTGTCCTTCACCCGTCTGCTGTCTGTGCTCAGGTAGCTGCTATAGACACGGCTGGGCTGGGCTTCCTTTGAGTTGGCTTTCCATTCTCCTGCACTGCACACCAGCAGCACAAGTGCGGGCGCCAGTCACTTAGGTGTGGCTTTTGGAGCAACTGCCACACTACTTGCATGGGGCACTGTTCTATTCGCACCAGAAGTGCAGAGGGACGCCAATGTCTCCACTCCTTTTCCAACACTGTTATTTTTAAAAACAAAACACCTCCTCCCCCCACAGCCCCCCCAAATATGGAAGAAACTAGTCAGCATACTCTAGGGTACTTGCACTCCCATGTTTATTGAGGCTCAGCTCACAACAAAGACAAGGGCCAGCCAGGTGCCCAGCAACAGACGAACAGAGGAAGAAAAAGTGAGGTCTAAACAGCGTGATTTTACGCAGCCAAAAGAATGAAGTTCTGTTATTTGCAGGAAAATGGAGGGATCTGAGATCATTTTGAATAAAATGAGCCAGACTCAGGCAGATACAGGGCCGGGGAGATGGCTCAGTAAAGTAAGTGCTTGCCTGGCAAGTGCAAGGGCCTGAGTTCAATCCTGGGTACCGCAAAAAAAAAAAA